AGTCGTCACTAAAATGGCTTCCTGCCAGATCACGCATTCGTGACAGCAAGTATGAAGGTCGCTGATCTCCAAGTTCAAGTCCTTGTAGTAAAGTACGTATTTTTGAAGATTCACTTTCTGAATAGATTTCAATGAGCCGCTGTTTCAGTTTGGAGTATTTATCACAATCAGGTGGTTTGAGAATTAAGTCATGCACTGAATTCAGAATATCAGACTCAATTGCTGCAACTACATGGTTGAATTTTGTAGAATCCTCACTAATGCGAGCTATAGAAAATTGTGCTTTGATCTGAGCGAACCACAATGAAGGATTATTTTTCCAGAAAGGCGGTGGCTTCACTGCAACGCGTGTGATTTGTGGCTCTGGTGGAATATCGTCGGGCATACTGATAGATAATTTTCACTTTAATTAATAAACACTTATCAGCACAAATATTGTAGCATGAAGATACACTATTGATATTTTACCATGATAACAATAAATATTTTAACCATGCAGAAAAAATTTACGTAACGATACACACACAAATAAGACAGGGTCAGCAATTACACACACAAATAATATTTTACCGAAATGCATTTGAAAAGAAACCCTTATTTGAGAAAAAAAAATGATGCGTTCATTTTGTATTGCGCACACACAAAATCACCACTTCACACTGCTAAGGCACTTTCGAAGGAAAAACGAAATCACTCCTGTAGCACGTGGGAAAGAAATTCACTACTTTCGAACACTGAGAAAAGAATTTTGCCGTAGCACGTTGCACAAAAGTTACTGATGTGGCACATTTAGCGAAAATCACTGTTGTAGCACATTTGTCGTTGAATGATCGAAGAATTATTGCACGACTGGCGAAGTCAGCGGAACGGAACAGATCACATTGATGATTTGCTGAAGATCCTTGCGATGATATGCACGACTTTGAAAAAAAACACAAGCAATATATATCAATACTTCTAGAAATAATTGAAGGGGTACGTTGTAGCATATGTTTAATGTCCATATTCGTTGTTATTTTTAGTCAGTTCTTCAGAATGCTTTGGATGCACGTGGCTTAGGGTCGTTGAAAATCCATTGTCAGTAGCGTGCTCAGTCAAAAGGTCACCACTTTTGGTGGTCGTGTGTGCTTAATGCATGATATAATTAAAGAAAATAAGAATAGACAATCTCCTATAACAAAAGAATATATTAAATACTAAATTACAATTTAAATTACATTGCAGAGATCAACACAGAGCTCGGAACACAGTTCATGCTACCTTCGCGTACCGTTGCGTGACGAGAAGTCTGAGTCAGTAATGACGTCGCTTTGCTGCTCTGATTAAGAACTGGATTTTACACGTGGCGCCATCTCATGAATAGAAGTTGAAGTATCTGTCGGAACGCCACACTTCTTTCAAAATCAAATAATGCTCTTTCTCTCAATGACTGTCTTCACCCAGGGCCAAATCTAAATCCAAATGTTTTGGACGATATTTTGAAATTCCGCGAAAATAGGATCGCCTTTTCGGCAGATATTGAAAAGATTTCTTCAAATATCCATCGCAGAAGAAGACAGAGATTATCTGAGATTCCTTTATTTTAAAAAACTTGATAGAAAAGAGAGTGTAATTTCTTACAACATGACAAGAGCAACCTTTGGTGTAACTTGTAGGCCTTTCATCCTTGCCTGCACAATAAAACATCACATTGATAAGTACAAGAATTCTGACTTTAAGATTTTTGAAATGCTTAACTCAAATTTTTACGTGTGTTGACGCCAGAGGCGCCATCTGTGAAAAATATGTAATATTTGTGTTCTAAAACGATAACGCTGATGTTTTTTATAGCGCCATCTTGCGGCCACTTATATTGAGCTTTGAGTGTGTTCTGAGACGCCGCCGAGAGATGTGAACTAACTATGCGGCTTTTTGAGTAATTAATAAATTTTAGCATACAGTCCATTTTTGAGTTTTTGTGTAAAGTGATTTATTTAATTATGAGTTTTACTGAGCTATTGATGGGCCCATTGTTTGTTCTATCCAGTCCGGAGGTCGAATTGTGTGTCAAAGTCGGATAACAAGTGTTATGGAAGAAAACTTGTGGATTACTCTTAAATAGAAGGTACGTGGCCTTAATTGTAATAACTGTGTAATTGAAAAAGTAGATTCAAAATTTTTAAAATTGCAAAAAAAGAAGATTATCAGCGTATTGCTGTAGAGCTGAATTTAGACATTTCAGAGGCGAAAACTATATCAGATTTAACTGATATAATTAAAAACAGTGAAAGCTATAAGAAGGATCCTGTATTAGTTGAAGGTATAGCTAATAATATTATCGACGAAAGGAAAAGTGACGAGAGGCGATTGCTCGAACTTGAGAAATTGAAAACGGAACGAGCGAAATAGGAACTAGAACTCGCTAAGTTGCGAGCAGAATCAAAGAGTGAAAGCCTCATAGAATATGAGAAAAGAGAAAAAGTAGAATCTCTTGACTCTCTTATTAAAAGTATGCGCACATTAAAAACTAAAATTCCAATTAGATTGGAATGTTGGGGTTATCTCTTTTCATCGTTAGAAAGGGCGTTCATTTCATAAAGTGTTCCACAGAAATTTAAATCGGAAATTCTTCTAAATTTGTTGGGAGATAAAGCCACAAATGTTATTACTTACATTAAAGACGACGAATTAGGATATTATTCGAAAGTTAAAGAAATAGTGCAAAGAGAATTCGAACCATCCCCCCAAATTTGTTCAGAAAATTTTAGGAAGACATATTGGCTCTGACTCCAAATTAATCCTTATTTTTACAACTCTGTTTCATCAAATAACGTCAATCCAAGTTTTAAATAAAAATAATTTTTATTTTCGTTTTTATCAAAATGTAAACAACTCTTTAGAACAATATCATTAGTAATCTTTTGTTGCCATTCCAAGAACAACGAAAATTGAATAATCTTTTTGTTGCCATTCTCAAAACAACAAAAACTGAATAATAATTTTGTTGCCATTCTGAAAACAGCAAAAAACAAACAAAATGATATTAATCAGTATTTAAAGTTTCTGTATAAGTTCAAGCCACAACATACACAACGAATGACGAATGAAACTTATGTGCAGTTCGCTTCTAGATTAAATACGAGTTGGGATTATTATTTGAAACTGAGAAAAAACTGAGACTTTGAAACATTAAAACAATTAATGGTTTCTGATAAAATATGTCAAACACTTGATAAAGAGGTTATGTGTTTTATAAATGTAAGGCAAGGAAATTCTTGGTTTAAACCTGTAGAATTGGCGAAGGAAATAGATTTATATTATACATCAAAGAGAAAAACCTGTAGTGGATAATTCTAGGTTGAGTAATAAAAACAGTTATCCTAAAAATATGTCAAAGAATTTTCAAAATGATATAAAAAATTCGAAATGTATTTTATCATGCGATGAAATGAAATTCATCCTTTGTACAAATGCCCAGTTTATAAAAACATGACAGTTAGCGATAGAGTTGGGCTAGTGAAATCGAAACAGCTATGTTTCAACTGTTTAGGAAATCATAAGGTGATTAATTGCGGCAATAAATTCTCTTGCGGTATTTGTAAAAAGAAACATCACGTGACTCTCCATTTCCCTCTCGAACAAAAAAATAAACAAAGACAGTTGCGCAGGTGGTGAGTCATGAAAATAAAAATATTCCTTGAAATTTGGACACTTCGGCTCCATCATTTGAATCTGTGAGGGCTAAAACAAGTACTGATCAAAATTTATTATCAACAACGTGCAATCGCGCGAATGAATTACAAGCTGTCTTACTCAGCACATTTGTTTGTTTAATTAAAGATGCATCGGGTAACTTTTGTAAGGTTAGAGGTTTGTTAGATGTCGGCGCTAATTCAAATTTTATGAGCAAAAGGTTAGCAGATTTGCTTCAATTAAAGGGAGAGAAAGAGTAACATTTCTGTTTCATGAATAAATAATTTGCCTTTGAATATAAAATCTAGAGTTAGTACAACTATTTTAAATATAGACAAGAGTTTCGATTTAAGTTAAAATTTTTTGGTTGTTCCTAAAATAACAGAATATACGCTCTCTAGGCCTCTTGAAATTAATGTTTCATCTTTAGATAATATCAATTTAGCAGATGACAAATTTTATGAGCCAGGCCAATTGAATTTCTGATAGGTGCAGAACATTTCTATGAGCTTTTAAAACCAGGCCAAATTTTCTTCAGGATCCAACTTTAAGATTACAAAATAGTGTTTTCAGCTATGTTGTAAGTGGGACTCTTCCTGCTAAAGGAGAAAAGTAAATTACATTGTGGGCTTATTACAGATAATTTGGAGTTAGAAAGAGCAGTAAGAGAGATTTTTTGGGAAATCGAAAACGTAGAAAGAGAGTCTGAGATTTCTAAGAGTAAAAGAAGCAGAAATTTGTGAACAGCATTTTCTCAAAAACTATTCTAGGACTGAAACTGGAAAATATTTAATCAAGATACTGTTTAAGGAAAATCCAATGTGTTTAGGGAATTCGAAACAAATCTCGCTTAAGACGTTAAACTCATTGTGGACTCGTTTAATTAAGGATGAAAATTACTTATTATTGTACTATGATTTTCTACATGAATATAGTGAACTAGGTCACATGACTGAAGTGAAAGATGAAGATGAGCAAAAGGGGAAGTATTACATTCCACACCTTGGTATTTATCGCCCTGAGAAAAGTTCGACACCTTTGAGAGTAGTGTTCAATGCTTCAACTGCAACATCAAAAGGTAATTCGCTGAATTCAATTCAGTGTAATGGTGGTGTAATTCAAGAGGACTTGTTTTCAATTATGGTACGTTTCCGAAAACATATTTCTGCTTTTACAGCGGATATCAATAAGATGTACCGAATGATATCGATTCATCCTACTCAACGGCAGCTACAGATAATTTTGTGGAAAGAGTCAATTAATGGTCCAATTAAAACTTTTGACTTGAACACGGTCACCTATGGCACAGTAAGTGCACATTTTTAGCCATGAGAACATTACGTCAGCTTGCTATAGATGAGTTCACAAATTTTCCATTAGCAGCTGCAGTTCTACAGAGTGATTTTTACATGGATGATGTTCTAACAGGGTCAATTTCATTGAGGTTGGCAAAAGAGATACAGCGTGAATTAATTGAGATTTTAAAAAGTGCAAATATGACTCTGCACAAATGGTGTAGCAACAATCCGGAGTTTGCAGTTAACGTTGATGATGAATACACATTTCAGTGCGCGAATGAAGTGTCAGCCTTTGGTGTTTCCTGGAAAACAGACAAAGATTGTTTTAATTTTAAAGTGAAACTAGAAAATGAGTCTAAAATTACTAAAAGGCAAGTTTTGTCAACAATAGCAAGAATCTTTGACCCGCTTGGTTTATTGGGTCCCGTGATAGCTAAAGCAAAAATATTTCTTCAGAGACTAAGGGTTTTGAAGCTCAATTGGGACGATCTTCTACCTGATAAAGAAGCCAAAGAATGGCAAAGGTTTTTCTCTGAACTACCACATATAAGTAAGTTAGAAATTAACAGATGCATTCTTGTCGCAGAAGCAATTGTTATTGAGTTACACGAATTTTGTGATGCCTACGAGTTAGCTTATGGAGCCGTAGTTTATAGTAAATCCGTCTCCCAGTATGGTGAAGTGGTGATAAGGCTGGTAACGAGTAAATCAAAAGTTTCTCCTATAAAGCAAGTTACCATACCAAGGTTAGAGTTATGCGCAGCTGTATTGCTTGCGAAGTTAATGACTCGAGTAATATCTGCTTTGAAACTTAATGTGAATAATGTATTTTTCTGGAGTGACTCTTCGATAGTCTTGGCTTGGCTGAAAAAGGAGCCCTGTTGTATGAAAAGGTTTGTTGCTAATCGAGTTGCAGTGGTTCAAGAAATGACGGAGGTGCGACAGTGGCATCACGTCCCATTTAAGCAGAATCCTGCGGATCTCATATCAAGAGGCGCTTATCCGGTCAAACTTCAACTGTGTGAACTGAGGTGGCGTGGTCCCCCATTTCTTCTTTAACCTGTGATGACTAAGTGTCAAGATGATATGCCTGAGGAGTCCGAAGAACTGTATCTTCGCGAATTAAAACTACCAGCAGTAAGTGAAATATGTGCACTTATTTTAACACTTATGAGCAATTAGATGTCATCAATAATTGTTCACCTTACAACAGATTGCTAAGAGTAGTGGCTTGATGCAAGAGAGTCTTGCGTAACACCTGGCATCCATTGCATGCTACACGCGGAACGTTGACAAACCAGTGAACTTTCTAGTGCGTTAGTTGTGTATTGTGAAAAAACGTTCAAAGGACTTCATTTGTGTCAGAAATCCAGTGCCTTAGAAAAGGGTGCTCCTATTCCTAATAGTAGTAAACTATTGAGTTTGTGTCCATTTTTAGATCATGATGGAGAACTCAGAGTGGGTGGCAGACTGAAAAACAGTGAGTGACTTAAGTGAAATGAGAAAACATCCTATGATTCTGCCAACTAAACATAATTTTACTGTAATTGTGATTAATTATTTTCATGTTCTTTATTTTCATGCAGGTGCTGAAACAACCCTATCTCTTATAAGGAGTAAATTTTGGATTGTTTCTGCAAGAAATGTAATTAGAAAAATATATATTTAATTGTATGATTTGTAAAAAGGTAAATTCTTAGCTCTGTGCAGCAACAGATGGCTGATTTACCAGCTGCGAGAGTGACCATGTCAAGAGTTTTTGCTAAAACAGGACTCGATTTCTGTGGTCTATTTGTGGTAAAAAAATTTTGTAGGTAGAAGTAAACAGGTAAGAAAAGTATTTGTATATGTATTTTTGTAAGTTTCACTACGATGGCCTTGCACTTTGAAATTGTAAATGATTTATCAAGTGCAGCATTTATAGCTGCATTTAAACGCGTTTATTGCCAGGCGAGGTAAACCCTCAGATATTTTCAGTGATAATGGCAGAAATTTTGTGGGTGCTCATAGAGAATCATAGAGAATTAAGAGTGATTTTAAAATCTTTATTTAAGAATAAAAGTGAGGAAGAAATCAAAGTTTATTTGGCTACTGAAGGCATAAATTGGCATTTTAATCCTCCCTCTACTCCTCACTTTGGAGGTTTATGGGAAAGCTAGTGTGAAATCCCTTAAATATCACTTGAAACGGGTGGTGGGAAAAACAATTCTAACTTATGAAGAATTTTTTACTCTAATTGTTCAAATTGAATCTGTACTTAATTCTCGCCCTCTTTGTCCCATATCAAATGATCCAAATGATGCAGAGGCATTGACACCTGCTCAATATCTTATTGGTTCATCTTTAATTGCATTGCCTGAACCTAATTTTACAGAGATTCCTATAAATCGGATAACTAGATGGCAAATGGTTCAGAAATTTAATCAAAATTTTTGGAAAAAATGGTCGTCTGAATATTTAAACAAACTTTTAAATAGACCTAAAATGGTATAAAGGAAAAGTATAAATGAAGGAAGGAAATTTGGTTTTAGTAAAAGGTTCGTATAATTACTCTCCTTTAAAGTGGCATTTAGCACAAATTATTAAAACTCATCCAGGTCAAGATGATTATTCGAGTTGTGACACTTAAAGATAAAATGGAACCTATAAAAGGCCAATGACAAAAAACTGTACCTTTGCCTTTTGTTAATGAAAAAGTTTCAGTTACATAAATGTTATTTTTTGTTAATTATCAAGTTTGAGTTTGTATAATTGTATAACCATCATTATTATTATCTTGGAGTGTTGTGTTTGTATTTTATAACTTGTGTTCTAAATTTATTGTTGAATGTAACATTCAAGGCCGGACTGGATGTTGACGCCAGAGGCGCCATCTGTGATAAATATGTAATATTTGTGTTCTAAAACGATGACGCTGATGTTTTTTATAGCGCCATCTTGTGGCCACTTGTATTGAGCTTTGAGTGTGTTCTGAGACGCCGCCGAGAGATGTGAACTAACTATGCGGCTTTTTGAGTAATTAATAAATTTTAGTATACAGTCCATTTTTGAGTTTTTGCGTAAAGTGATTTATTTAATTATGATTTTTAATGAGCTATTGACGGGCCCAACGTGGATGACCTATTTTCTGGAGCGAAAACTGTTGAAGAAGCGCTTAATCTATCAAATGAATCTGTTAAAATTCTTCCTGAAGGAGGTCTAAATCTAAGAAAATTCGAAACCAATTCCCTAGAGCTTAAGCAGAAATGGCTTGAGGAAAAGCTAGTCTCTCTCAATAGTAACACTCCATGTACATCCTTAAAGATACTAGGTTTAATATGGAACAATGATGAAGATGTCTTAGGATTAGAATTAACACCCTTCATGTCCTCTATAAACACTGACTGTACCAAACGTAATGTATTAAAAATAGCAGCCAAAATGTTTGACTCATCTGGATTTATCGCACCCTTTGTAATTCGAATTAAATGTTTATTGCAACAGCTATGGCTTCAAGGGGTAGCTTGGGATGAGGTTTTTTCTGGAGAACTTGAAAATGTCTGGAAAATGTGGCTGTCTGAAATAAAAGAACTTAAAATGTTGAAAATTCCCAGATATTATTTTCATGTATTAAGTTTAGACAGGGACACTGTTTAGTTATACATTTTTAGTGACGCTAATCCGAATGCATATGGCTCAGTCGCATACTTGAGATACAGAACTGATGAAGATAAATTTGAAACTACATTCGTTTTGTCAAAATCACGTGTTGCACCATTGAAGAAGTTAATGCTTCCCGCCTTGAACTGATGCCAGCACTGGTGGATGCTAGGGTTGCCAACTACCTGAAAAATATTCTACATATTTCAAATGTCATTTTATGGTCAGATTCGGAAATAGTTCTACATTGAGGATTAAAAGTACAGCTAAAAGATGGAAACCTTTCATTGCTAATAGAATTTCAGGTCCTTGTTCACGGAGACATTGCGAAGGAAAAGTCAACCCTGCAGATCTAATAACAAAGGGTTGTTCTGCCAAATGAATTCTGCGAATGGTGGCGTAGCCCTGCATTTCTTTCGTTACCTGAAAGTCAATGGCCAACACCTAAATTATCAACACCAAAATTATATGATGTATCAGAAGAATCTCGAAAATCGGAAGCTATCCTAGCGTGTGTGATCCAAACGGACAAAACTGAAAAAGTTCCACTCCTGAATTTGACAAAATTTAATTCCTTGAAGAAACTTTATCGTGTGACTGCTTGGATTCTTAGATTTATGTCAAATTTAAAAGCAAAAAGGGAAAACAGAAATTTTGCGGAAATTTCAGCAGAAGAAATCAGTAAATCTGAAACCTTTTGGTTAAAACAAGCTCAAGAAGATAGTTTCCCTGAAGTTATAGAGCCCCTAAGAGAAAACAAGCATATTCCAGAAGATTCAAAATTGTTCGAATTAAATCCCATATTATCAGATGAAGGTCTACTTTTGGTTCGAGGTCGGTTACAAAAGTCAAACCTACTATTTAACAACAAACATCCAATAGTAATCCCTTCAAAACATAAGTTAAGTGAATTAGTAGTACGAGACGTTCATGAAAAGGTTTATCATGCGGGAGTATCTGGATACTCTAGTGCATATACGTGAAAAATTCTGGCTCTTAAGAGGAAAACAATATGTCAAATCAATCAGAGATCCTGAGTTTTGCTGCTGAAATGCATAATATGCAAAAAATATAATGTACGTCCTGGACAACAAATCACTGCACCTCTTCCAGCGGAGAGAGTTAATGAATCTCCGCCTTTCTCAATTTGTGGACTCGATTTTGCAGGTCCCTTGTATGTAAAAGAAAATGACAACAAATACTACATTTTATTGTTTACTTGCGCCACTACAAGAGCTATTCACCTGGAGCCCGTAAAAGGCATGAGCACTGAAGAATTTTTACTTGCGTTCCGCAGGTTAGTATCCCGAAGAGGTTTGTGTTCCACTGTGTACTTAGACAATGCTAGAACATTTAAAAGAGCCGAACTTGAATTAAAGCAAATGTGGAAAGTGATTAACCACCCTGAAGTTAAAAAATTTTATGCTTCGCATGGAATCGCATGGAAATACATTGTGGAACGTGCTGCCTGGTGGGGCGGTTTTTATGAACGTTTAGTTCGCAGTGTAAAAACTAGTTTAAGAAAGAACATTGGGAAATCATCTTTGACTCAAAATGAATTAGAAACGTTTTTGCTTGAAATAGAAGCGATGATAAAATCGCGCCCATTAACATATGTCTTTTCTGATCTTGAAGAGCCCTCCGCACTTACTCCAGCCCACCTGTTGATTGGTAAACGACTCTTGAGTTTGCCAGCTGTAAGGAGGAATGACTTGAATTTACCAGATTCCAGAGAAGTAATGTTAAAACGTTTTCGTACACGAGAAAATCTAATAAATCACTTTTGGAACAGATGGAAAAAGAATATCTCCTGTGCTCGAGATCTGCTCATTATACCGGTCAGAAAATCCATCTGCATTCAAAGTAAAGGATATAGTGCTTGTTCATGACGAAAACTTACCTAGAAGCTGGTGGAAATTAGGAAGAATAACCAAAACTTTTATTGGTAGAGATGGAATGACTGGTAATTCGGTAACTGAAAGTCCAGTGCAGCTATTGTACAATTTAGAAATTGATGATATCAGTAAATGCAATAATCAGTGACTTATCAAAATTAGACTGAATGACTGATAAACTGATGATAGACATAAAAAAATATTATTTTCATAATGTTTCCATTTATTCATTTTATTATTTTCCTTCCTAATGATTTGTGGTAATCTTGAGAAATGTTAATTTAAATGTTTTGTTTTTTCTATAGCTTCAGAAATATTTTGTCTTGTAATTAAGAAATTATTGATATAATGTGACCTGCATATGTAAGCAAATTTTATGTTTCTATTGTTATAGTAATATTGTAATGGTTAGTTAAATTTGTGATGAACCTATTGTTCATCGGGGGAAGTTTGTTGAAAATATTTCTTTTTCTCTCCGATGGAGCCAATTTTTCTTTTATTATTTATCGTCTGTCGCCGACTAGG